GGGGGTGGGGGGGGTTCGGGTACTAGTCAGCTGAGTGGGGGGGGGCTGGTGTGACTCAAAGCTGTGCACAGCTGTCAAGTTGTGTATTCGACCCCAGTGTAGAAGATTGGCCCACCTCAATTTCGGGCCCAGACAGATAGACAAACAGACAGACAGACACAGGCAACCCCCCTCATCTGCACGTATTTCCCCGGGGGTTGGTTTTCTTTCCCCCTCCGAGCACACTACCTGCCCCACTGCTCACCTGCACCAGCGGGTGCGGGTAGTAGAGGTCCTCCTTAGCGCACTGGTTGCGAGCTGCGTTCCAGTCAATCTTACTGTACGGCATGGGGTACAGCTCCTGCCTGTACGGCATGTGGGTTGGCCAGGTTCGGATGTGGTGGGACCCGGGTGGTGAGTTCCGGAGGTGAGAGCGCGGGGGGAGGGGTTGGCTTGTTACGTGTGTAGCCGCGTGACGACGCCCGGGTGGGGGCCGCCCACCTCCCACCCCCCCAACCAACCAAGCCGGCCGAATCTACGGAACAAAACACACACACACACACACGTACACACACGTACACACACGTACACGCACACACGCGCCCTTCTGGAGGGGTTGCGGGCCGGCGGTGGGCCCCTCACGAATCACCTGATGGCGGCGGTGAGGGCCGTCTCCTTGCACGTGCCCCGCATGCCGTACACGTAACTCATAGGGAGGTACACCTGCGCGTGCGCGTGTGCGTCAGCATGTCTGTGTGTATTGAACGTCGTACAGATCAGTCAGCACCCGACAATCACCACAAGAGGGCTTGGAAGCTATCAGCCGAGGCCGAATATGCCGCCATTCCACTGCGGGGTGCGGGGGAGGGGTGCGGGGGAGGGGTGCGGGGGAGGGGTGCGGGGGAGGGGTGCGGGGGAGGGGTGCGGGGGAGGGGTGCGGGGGAGGGGTGCGGGGTGCGGGGTGCGGGGGAGGGGTGCGGGGGAGGGGGACCTGCAGGCCCGGCACTCTTTTACCGACCTGCATCCCCCACTCACCACCACCACCACTCACCACCACCACCACTCACCACCACCACTCACCACCACCACTCACCACCACCACCACTCACCACCACCACTCACCACCACCACTCACCACCACCACTCACCACCACCACCACTCACCACCACCACTCACCACCACCACTCACCACCACCACCACCAGTATCAGTACCAGTACCACCCACCACCAGCGGCCCCACCCACCATGCGGCAGTGGCACCAGAAGCGGCCCGGGTGCAGGTAGCCGATGCCCGTCCATTTGCTGTACGGCGAGCAGCCACATTTCCGGTGTAAGCGGGTTCATGCCGTCCCAGGGTACACCCCGAGCACTGCCAGCCAGAACTTGCCCCAGCTGGTGATGTAGGTAGCCCCCCCGCGGGCGTGAATCTGGAGGATACAGGGGGGGGGCCCCGGGGTTGGGAAGAGAGAAACACCCCTACACACCCTTACACGCTTACAAGTGGGAGAGGGGGAGAGAAGTCAAGGTGAGGAGGACGCGGGGGTGACGCGGCTTGGGCACTGGGACCCGGGGGACCTGCAGGAGGACTGCCGCCGCTCGCGCCGTGGGTATGACACGACACAACACGACACGGCACGGCACGACACGGCGCCCCTTCCACTGGTTGTTTGTCCGCCGCCGCTACCCCGCTCCTTGGGCCCCCAACACCCACCCAAGCCAGCCAAGTCAACCCAGCCAAGCTAAGCCAAGCCATGCGCATACCCTGATGTACGGCCTCATCTCAGTAAGTCCCTTCGCACCCCGCACCCCCCCATGTCTCCATCACACACACATACACACACGCACACACCGCACACACACACATCACCCACCCCAGAGCCGGCCCCACCCCCCCTCCTACAGCCTCTAAGGCTGCAACTTACCCATTCGCGAGCTCGCCTGGTGAGGTCCTCATCCGGCCCCATGCCAAGCAGCCGAGCCATCACGTAGCTGCGGCGAGCAGGATTCGAACCGGGGCGCACCAAAGCACCAAAGCGGTCTTCATGGAGATTTTTAACGCAGCACTTCTTTGCAGGATGCAGCGATGCGATGGAGGTTTACAACAGCGAGTGGGAGGTACGGCCCCCGGGGGAACAACAGAATTTACCACACAGCGGCAACAGGACACTTCGACGATAAAAAAACTTATTAAGAATCAACAATATGACTGAACTGAATTGAGCTGGACTGAACGCGGTGCTTAGACAAGGAAGGCGATTTGGATAGCCGAACTGTACACTTGAAAGGATACTTGAGGACTGCGGGAAGGGCGCCTCCCCGCCCACCCCCGGCCCCCCCCGCCCGCAACCCCAGGCGCCTCCCCAGACGACTCACTTCAGCCCCGTCCCAAACATGGTGGAGCCGCCCTCGATGTGCAACCCGAACCCGCCATCGTCGTTCTGGTGGTTGGCCAGGTAGCGAAGAGCCTCCTGCTTGTGGTGCGGAGTGAAGACCTGCGCCGGGTTGGTGTGGAGGGGATGGAGGGTGAAGGAGGTGTATCGTATTCGTGTTGTAACAAGTTTTGCTTGGTGAAATATGGGTGGTGTGGTAGTTGTATGAGAGGGGATATGCGCGGAGAGGGCTGGGAGGAGAGGTGATGTGTGCGCGAGGAGCTGTCAATCGTTCACCGCAGACCCCTGGGTGGGAGAAATGGAGGCGGCGTTGCGCGACACACACTAGAAGGTAGGAGGGGAGGAGGAGCAGGGGCGCTGCCTGTGGCGTTGGAGGTGACAAAGAGAGACAGACGAGCCGAAGGGCCGGGGCGGGGTGACGGGGAAGAGAGAGCGTGTGTGTATGCGTGTGTGTGTACATGTGTCCGGGTTTGTTGTGGATATGGGGCCGAAAAGAAACTTCTGAGTCCACACAGGCTTTGTAAAGTAGTAGAAGACGGGCAACAGTGAATATGACATGGGTGTGGGTGTGGATGGAGGAGGTGCACGGGGCAATCCCATCGTTTGGCACGAGAATCGACAAGGTGACGGAGGTGAAGCCAGCTCTGGGCATCCGGGATATTTGGAAGGAAAACACAATCTAGCGGGTGCAGGTTTGCGCAACGTGCACCCGACCGTGGATCGTGGTCAACGTCTTGGACTGTACAACATCCCCCGGCTGGAGTGCAACGCGCTGATGCGTATTGGTCAAGCACCTCTCAATCTTAGGGGACCTGACATTGGGCTCACCTGGTCCAGCGCGCCCGTGGTGTATAGACCGATGACCAGGCCAGGGAGCAGGAACATCGGTCCACCATAATCACCGGGCCAGTGACCATCATCTTGTTGTAAGCATTCGTAAAAGCTGATAGCGCCGTTAAGATGCGCCTCCACGCGTTCCGGTGTGAGCTGCTCCGGTACCTCGCCAGATGGCGGGGCATGCTTCTTGGCGCGGATGCGATCCGCGGACTGCAGTCTTAAAAGCTCATCCGCTGAATGATGTTGTTTATCTTTGTTGGCGGTAAAATCTGCTCGAAGGCGCTCCACCTCCGCGCGCAGCTCTGGCGTGCCTGCCTTCTCATTGAACTCCCAAGTTTGCCGGCCCTTATTATTGTTTAACGAGCGCAAGAGCGGATCGCCACCGCTGCTCCCAGCGCTCACAAAGGTCCACATCGCGCAGACCGGTGGTCAGCACCGTGCAAGCGTTACAGCCGCGGGGCTTGGGAGGACTAAACCAGTGTATTCCAGCTTACACACAAGAAGTAAGATAGAAGATCATTCAGCATAATCTGTTTGTTTGAAATCATCTAGAAAGTCTTTCTGTAGTTTGTGATGTGAGATATTATGTAAGCCGTTGACTCCCGCAGCTCGTCACAACGGACAGGAGGCTCCTTAGTCCAAATTGCTGCTTCCTCCATGGATGGAGGAAATTTCAAGTTTTATGGCTGGTTGCATAACAAATTGCGGATGCGAGGCGACTGCTTGCATAACAAATTGCGGGTACTGCTAAAGTTGCAAGTCGCAACTCGCAACTCGCAACTCGCAAGTCGCAAGGAACACGCAAAATTTCTATTATGATATACTATATACGCGAATACGTACGTGAACCACGCCTGTAGGGTGTAAACAGATAGCATTTGCGGCGTCCGCGTCTGCGGGCTATGGCCGATCGCAGGCGCAACTATGCTGAAGTGGCTTGCGGCCTATGTGGCTTCGTCTGTCTGAGCAGTGCAATGTAGCTGTCTGAGCAACGCAATGTAGCTGTCTGAGCAATGCAATGTAGCTGTTCATACGCACAAGCTCACTCAGGCCTCATCTAGTTCTTATCAGTATTTGCTTATTGTATCTCATTAAGTTCTTAACAGTATTTGCTTATGGGCCTTCTGGTGGGGTTCCGAGGACTTTCGCCAATTGGGGAGTCTAATTGCTGTGGTTGCGGGTTCTGAGCCTGCCCTTGGATTTGGTTTTGGATTATTTAGGTGACTTGCGTTGTCTGGTCTGGGTTGGAGTCTTGTTTGCCCTAATCGTATCAGGTGCAGTGCACGGCCTGCTGGCCCGCTGGCTGTACTCTTTGTGAGTCTGGAGCCCACTGTAACAACCACACTGCCTCCAGGCATCCCTAGCCCCGGCGGTGGACTGATAGGAACTAGCCTAGTCCGCACAAGTTCCACACAAGTGTGGGGGTGTCCGTAAGAGCTGGGGGGCCCATGGGCGGTAAATTGTTTTTAGGGCGGTTGCATGGTGGACCATCATCATCCACCCTCGTCCGCTTGAGCACGGAGCGCCTTAGAGCAACACGCCGGGTCTCCCAGACTTCCGAGAGGAACCTGGCTAGTGCCAGGGGTGGGGCCTCGGTCATAATCGTGCGCATGTTGCACCCTTGAAACATGAGGTCACGTTCGCCCGTGTACTAATGTACGCCAGGCATTCCACAAAGACATGCATTTCGTCTTCAACCGCCCCGCAGTCACAAAGCCTGCAGGTGCATGCTGTGCACTCATGGCCGTTAGGTTGGTTAATCTCTAACTCCCAACAGCCTAACCGGAAACATATAAGCATTTGATGCAAACATTGGGGCATGGCGATTTCAGGTGGTCATTATGGATTTCAGCACGAACAATGAACCCTGCCCACTCCCCCATGCCCCTTGCGGGCAAGCAACGGAGAATCGGGTGAGAGACCGAGCTTTCTATTAGGGCCTGGTGCCTTAATAGGGAGGGGTAGAGTCTGTACAGGGTTTCCGGGTTTCCTCGGTCTTCTTGAATCCTCACCCCAAGAGCCAGTCTTCTTGTGTGTTTCAGGCTCAGTGCTCAAACTCGCGTGACGGAGCCTTGACCCCCGGGGGAGGAGAGCGGAACTAGTGGACCCGTGGCTCTCAGCTGCTTAGGAGGGACAGAGGCCCCTTACACCCCTCTCCTGTCTGCGGGAGGAGTTTAGGTGGTCTTTCTGTTGGGGCTGGGCAGCAGTCCCTGGCCAGTTTCAGGCACGGTCAAATACTTGCAACACACGCACACGCACACACATACATACACACACACAAGCTCACGAAGTTGAATTGAATTGTTACAGAGTGGGAGGCTTCTGGGCCATTTGAACATATTGTCACACAAGCTCGCGATATGCCAGCTGAACTGATTCCCGTGCCTCGAATGCCCTGGTAAAAACCTTCTTGCGGACGTAACCCAGCTCAGACAATGCACGGCTAATATCAGGGACGCTCCAAAGAGTGCCCAGTAAGTTTGTCATAGCGGTGGCCAGATCGGAGAGCATTGCTTGGTCGTCGGCCTGCACCAGCTCCACCAGCGTCTGTGCAGCGATCTCATC